GCTCACCACGTATATGAACTCTAATCAATTATATATAGTTCATGGGACATTGCCCATTTATAATGTCTTTGCTGGGAGTGTAATGTATAAACTGTTAATAATAAGGGTTAACATGAGGGTGATGATACTGCAGATTAACGCATCTGAAAGTCAGATTCAGTAGCTTCTTATTAGGTAAAATGTTAATCAGAGGTATCCGTGGTGAAGGCAGCTATTCTTTAAAGTCTAGCTAGGCATCCTCACAAGGATACAGCCCGGTAATTATGTGCACAGTATTTAAGGTTTCCTTAAATAAATCAGAGTCTCTTAGAATGCTTTTTCTGAGTAAGCTTCATGCCAAAAGTTTCATAGTAGAAATATACTTTTCAGAAATGTAACCAACAATCTTATGTTCAACACCACTCATTTAAGATGATAAATTATTTGCATTAAATGCATTATTTATTACAAGCTTCAACATGTCTTTATCAATGTTGTTTCGACAATTTATATTTATATTACTAGGCAATTATGAACTGAAAAGGCAGCTCAGAACATTATATTCTCTGGTGCACATAGGGCAAAATATAAACCATAACTGCTACCTACCACAGGTTAAGCTATATAACAAAACCAAGCTAACTGACAACAATGTATTTTATTTCTGGCAGCACTAAGGGTGTTTTACGCACTGTATGCAGGGAGACTAACAAATAGGGTCACTAATACAATATAATACAATAACACAATTCAGACTATCGTAGTATGACTCTGTGGAAGAGCGAATGCTTGTGAGTACCAAATTCAGGAATTAAAATTCACTGAAGGCATTGACTTTAAAGGTCCCTGAATGGTATTCAGAAGCCCAGCTCAGCTACTACTGAGTTAAATGAGAGTTTTATCTTGAAACTTGAAAATTCCACTCTTTATTAACTAAGCACTAAGGCTAAGTTGCATGACTGAACTAATGAATCCTCCAGAAAAGATAGCCAGGAAATTACTAGGCAGTGTTTCTCCCTCCACAGTACCACATTCGTGACCAAGCAGGCTGTAAACAAGCAAACAGAAACATGTGAACTGTGCTTGAATCCATTACATGTTGAGCTGGCCAGATGCATCAAGGAAACTCCAAGGAAAATTAAGAGGTTCACAAGAAAAAAAGGTTTCAGCAGCACAAACCACAGACTGCCAGAGTACAGGAACAGTGCATCAGGACGTGCACGTTTAGTTTGCTATCCTAAATACCTGCCACTGGATAAACTTAACCTTCAGAGAAGGTGGACCTCATCTTGGCAAGATGTGCTGCTGGGCTGACCAGAATGGCTGCTCTTCATGCATCATCAGCAAAGATCCCAAGGAGTTTTAAATATTTATATACCCTATGAGGAGTCAAGTTTTGGGCTTTGTGACAAGAAAAAAAATGCAGCTTTTGTAAATCCACCCATCCCCAGACTAGTTTGTTTACCACTCTGATGAAAAAATAATTCATGGTCATCTTTTCCTCAAGACCAACAACTCTGAGTCATGTTACAAACTGCAGAACAATTAATGTGCATTTTACACACTTCTCAGTAACAGTGAAAACTGCAATTTATGGGACAGACTAACTTGTTTTCTGTCCATAAAGTCACCAAAGGAAAGACCTTTATCTTGCTTGAAAATGTAACCAGATCATTCCCTAATATTTCCATTTCTACAGAAAATAGTCCTTTTGGCTATGTAGAGCACCAAAACTCACTGAGGTATAGCAGGGTGAAAATTGCCAGTGAGCAAAAGTAAAAAGAGCTGAAGTTTCAGTCACTTAGAAACAAAGGTACAGGTATCTGGGTGAATGCCTGTGGAAGAAAGACATTCCATGCAAGAGGGAAGACAACAGGAAAACAATGAGGCAGACCATTTGGAATCAATGTATTCAATGCAAGAATAACAAAACACCCATTTTTTTTTTCTTAGAACAGCTATTTTTTTCAACCAACAGTAAGCCTATGGTCCCAGGTACATGAAGAAAGCTTTGCTGGTGTGTATCAATACATATGATATGGTCAAAGCAGTTCTTGTGTAAACATAGCTACATCAGATGAATTACAATTCGTTACAGAAAGACAAAAATACTGTAAAATAAAAATCCTCCCGCATAGCTTTACTGAAGCAGTAGTTGATAATGTAACAGTCACTCTAGCATTACTACTTTTCCTAGTTTAGTATACACTGCTGTATCTGTATACAGTACATACGCTGCTTAAACATCCCTATAATAAACAGCAGGCCACTTACATGCTTCTTAACAAATTGTTTCAGACTCACTTCACACTTACCCCCTTTCCCAGGGTGCTGGCTTACATTCAATGCAATTAGTAAAACAAACGACATATACCTCTCCTGAAATCCTTGAAGTGCTTCAGCCTATTTCCCTGCTCTTCACAAGGCCCCGGTCCTCAGTAACTTGCACTATACCATACCATTTGTGCCAGCAAACCCTCCACAAGCATAAAGACTTCCTAACCGACAAGGGACTTATTAAAGCACCATTACCCATCTGTTAAAACCTCTTCGTTGTACGCTGACTAATATTCATACCTCTATAAAACATGAAGATAAAACTTAGTCTTCTCCCTTTTCTTCTACCATGAACTGTAAGGAACCAAGGCCCTGACTGAAGACTAACAACTGAAAATGAAATCTTGAACTAACAGGAATGAAGCAGTATCACATTTAGTGGTGCACAGGGGCTCCAGTAACTTATCTTGCTGCTGCTATCTCGCTAACCTCTACCACAAAAATACCCATGGGCTTAGTTGCCCAAGAGTGAGGCTGTGTTTATCTGAACAGTGCTTTCCCAATTGGCCTGTCATCCATTTTGGATCATTACAGTCTTGTCCAGCTCCTGCATGTGAAAGCTCTCCAAGAGATTTCCTAAGTGAACATCTTACTTGGCAAGTGTATTTTACCAAGCCTGACTAACAGCATACAGTTTTGTGATTCTGCGAGGACAATGGGTTTTGGTCCTCTCAGAATGAAGTGCAGGTAGCATTTGCATTTATTGCAATACGCTTAGCCTTTCTGGGAGACAGCTTATTTAAAATACTGACCAGAAAAATCCTCCTCATTATTTAAGTGTTGTTAAATCACCCAAATTTACGTCTCAAATATACTATCTAATAGGTGCAAGATTACCCAGTAAAAAGACATCTGAAGATCAAGATACTTACAAAAAGCAGAAGCAGAAGTGGAGTTATAACAATGCCCTGGAAGAAATAAAAAAAAAAAAAAAAAGATGTCTGTTAGTCAGGAGAGCAGAATGCTCTTTAATTCCTTGTACCTTAGTGCATGGAAATACACAAACATCATTCAACATCATAGAAATTAAGTGACAAGAAGTTTAACTTTGCTCTTCACTGTGTACATTCTTTAGCATTTCTACATTGATCATTTTATAAACTGTACTCGCTACAAAGTATCTTCTTTTTTTACCTCCAGCTTTCCCCATTTTGCACCTAAGCCCCTCTATTCTAAAAGATCTGATATACAGAAGATCAATTATTTTAAAAAGCATATTAAAGCTCTTCCCTCACTGTGCTGTATTTTAACTCCACTAAGCCACTCCTCCTTAGGGGGGGAGACTTGTGATCAAGTCCCATGCTACCCAGTCCCAGGACCTCTTCTGAGCAAAAGCCGCATCAACTGTGATGAATTAGGTGTCGTGACTGTATAATGTAAACTGATATTCCCCAAGGAAATGAGCTGAGATCTCAAAACTCATTTCACTTGATTAGACTTCGCGTCTCCCTGGTAGAAGGCAAGTCTTTCATCTAATTTAATCACACAGGACCACCTCAGCTTTCCACATCCCCCAGGCAGACACAAGCAAAAAGATTTGTTGTCTTCACTGACAAGGAACAGGTTTAAAGCTGGTGATTGGACAAAATAGAGGACTTTAAGTTTCATGAGAGCAAATCTTAAAATGAGTTGTTGGGTTGGGAGTTAACATGACATGCATCAGTTTCATAGCCACAAATAGCAATTCCCCATCACCCTTCCATCTGACTTCAATATTTTATTATTGCTCAATAAAATGATTCTGTCACTTAATGCATGCTAATTCACAAGCTTGCTCAGAACTTCTCCAAGCCAAGACTATTTTTCATCCAGATATGTCTCAAAAATAACGAGTCTTTCAGCTATTCACAAACTTTATTGTTTAAAGGACAAAAGTCCAAAACTTGCTTCACATCCATCTAAAAGGATGCTTATTTTCTGTTGGTTTTTAGTTCCAAGTGAAAAACAGTCAAACAAAAAAGCAGTTATCCCCTGCTTTTCATTTAACCTCGAGTAACACAGCTTTACTTCAGTCTTGTGGAAGCTAAGAAAAACCTTTTACAACTAGTTTTGTATTTGCTTTCTGGGTCCACAAAAAGTCTTCGATCCAGACAGCCCATTAGACAGTCTTCCTACTGTGCTCTTAAAACAAAATGCAACAGGTAAACACCACAAACTACAGCAGACAAGAAGGATTGAGGAGGCAACAGTTAAGCTGTGCAACTTGAAGGCTCTACAGAGTTTAAAAATATATTTTGAAATAAATAATATATGCCATATCTGACTGCCCCACAGCCTAGCTATCCATAATCATTTATCTTTTTGCAAATGTCACAGCTGAGATAGATCATAAAAGACTAGAAAGAGAAGAAGTAGAAGCAATAAGAATCGCTTCAGGGAGCCACTCGCTGTTTACAAGGAGGCCTAGGCAAAAATGCAGATAACAGTTATGAAGAAATATAGGTGTTCAAAGTATATCAGCTGTAGAGGAAGAAACAAAAGTTCAGGAAGAGAGGAGGCACTAAGAGCTGAACTGACACTTGAGTATGGTAGCATCTACGATGCTTAGAACAGAGAACTGACAGTAAGACCCATATAAAATAGATGCAACACAGTCACTTCATCAGAACAACCGAACTCCAGGTTTTATGAGCTACTACTAAGAATACGTAAGCCAGGCTTTCCCCTTCTTCCCCTTTCCCCATTGACAACTGCACTGCACAGCTCAAATATTACCGAAGTGCCTGAGTATTCCCTGAGCATCCTGTAATTCTGGGATGGCAGAACACCACTGCAGCAGGGTTCCACCTTCAGACCTTCGCCTGCGCGAAGAGGAGCGTGGATGGAGCAGGAGGTGATATGCCAAAAGCATCCTGTACTCCAAATGAGCATTGAGCGCAGGGAGAATAGAGCACGCTGCCAGCTGGTGAGTACAGCCAGCTCTCTGCTAATCTGAAGGAACTCATTGATTCAGCACCATTAGTCATTTCTTATGTGCTTCATGCCTCAGTACATTTCATAGTGCTTTTATACATAACAAAAAAATGCAAAGGTAAAAAAAAAAAAAAAATCCAGAACAACCTTCCCCTTTATCTTGTTGATAAATAAAGATGGTGTCCTTCCTCTTTAGGATGGGACCTGTGACTTGGTGTATATTTGCTTTAGAAGCTTGGTGATATTAACACAATGGGCAACAGCCACTGCTAATTCAAAGCATATCATGTCGCAAAGGGAAAGGTTACCTTCGTGACAGTAACGCTTCTTCATAATTCTGTAAGCAGAGAGGAGGAGAATCCTGGTATACATCATAAATAGATTCCTGACTGAGCTTGTTGAAAATCTAGCATTCAAAAGGTCAGTTCCAGCAATTCTTTACAAAATTTTACCATTAAACCTGGTGATCTTAATAATCAGAAGCAAGTTTCCTGTTGCCTCACCACAGAAAGGATTTACAAGATTGAATTTTCCTATTTGCAACACATACGCAATTCCCTGGGAAGCTAAACAATTACCTGACAGAACAGACAAGTTCATATTAAAAAATAGATGCTGTTGCTGAATCAGAGTAATTTGATTTTAATGTTTTATTTTGATAAGGAGCATTGGTTTGAAAAACCACAGGGATTACATTAAAACCAAGGGGGTTTTTTTCAGTCAGTAGCGCTGTGGTGACTGCGATGGTTTATGGGTGCAAGCAAGGCAAGAGCTGTTAGGGGAGGGAACTATTACCAGACCGACTGATGGAGTTGGTAAAGAACAAACTTTGGGCATGTAAAGCTCATTTATTTGTTACCTGAAAACACCCTGACATGCTTTTATGTGCAAAAGCCCTTCTCTTCAGGTTTCTGTTCCAGATTTGAAGACAGGTTTACACAACTAAAGTATATCTAACAAAAGGTATTACCTTTCCCTGCACACGCTGCCTTGCTTCAACACATTACCTCTTCACCAGAAACGTGCCCCTCAATATGCTCGTAAGCATTGTGTGATGCATCTCGATTTGTACCCACTAAAGAATAATATATAGAGCACACTGAGTCTAAAGCCTACTGACAGAAAATACAGACGATGATTTAGGTTTTGAAGGTAAAACCAAAATCCGATTCACTCGGAATAAACAAAAGGTGGAAGAACAGTTACTCTACTAGGTCCAGCTCAGGCACCAGCAGAGGCTTCACAAAGATGCACATATTCTGACATTGGCAGTGTGGCTGCTTTCTAAGACTATGACAGGCTGAAAAGCACAAAGGAAGCTAAAAATTAAAATAAACAACTATCATTTCTAAGTCCATTGGACACTAACACCATCAGAGAGGAAAAAGTAACTAAATTTGACTATGCTTCTCCCTGCCTTGCTTTCCAGGCAAGTGCTGTCAAATATATAGTGTATGGAGATAAACAGATTGTAGATTAGCACTTCCAGCAGAAGCTGAGCATCTGCCCTTGAGAATGCAAGGTCATTACACAGTTTTAGCATCTTCAAAGTTCGGGTGGAGTGTTAAGCTTTCCGACTGCTGCCCACAACGGAGTCAAAGTTGTAAAGTGACTGCCGTTTGCTATCAGCAGAAAAACTTTCAAGAAATCCATTTACACCTCTGATGTGAAAGACTGACTGAATATATTTCAATGATTTTAGTGGAAAGGGAAGAAAAAATCTCAGCCTGACCTGAGACACTGATACAACACAGGAGTCTGAATAGTCAGATACCTGCAAACACATTTCTTTTTATAGTAGAGATCATGAAACATGTCTTAATTAAGAGAGTTTAAATACAGGTTTGTGTGTGTAAGCATGTGCATAAACATATATTTCAACAGCAAGGACACACTTGGAAATCCCTTTAATTGTTATTTGCCTTGTATAGATAAAGATGTTAAGAGGTTTTCTGTAGGTTTCACCCAGCACTGCTGTGGAGCAGACACTAAAAGGTGTTTATTCTCCAAAAGAATATGTAGAATCAGTACGTGTTATTAGCTGCCAAATAGGACAGCAAAAGGAAGAAACATAATGGATTTGAAACTATGATGGCAAATCATTAAGAAAGAAATTATGCAAATAGTATGAGGAAGGTGGGCACAGATCCAGAGGGACACATGGTAGAAGACGAGTAAGGATTATTGTAATGAGGCATGAAATACATGTGAACTTTCCTTCGTTTCCTTTACTCACAAATTTCCCATGCAATTTTTCTTCATTCTTACAGGTCATCAGTATGACATGCACATGGCAATTACTAGTGAAAAAAAACCTTAACCAAAGTCACGTCTGATTTGTCTTAAGAAGTCGGGCTAGAAAGAAAAAAGGTTTCTGTAATCAAGGTTCTGAACAAATGTGTATTTTCTGAAATCAATTATCTACTCGTGCTTAAAGCTACGGATGTTCTTGAATGCTTCACCAGAGCCAGACACAAAAGGAGCAAAAGTGTAAGCAGCGTTATGTTATAAACTGAATAAAGGTTAGTAAAAAGTTAACTGGGCAGCACTTCCATTACTACTGATAGGATAAGGTGCGAGAAAAATGGCTATGAACTCTGGATAACTTCATCAGAAGACAAGCATGAATGAGAACTGAAACTCAATCTTCATTGTAAAAAAAAAATCTGTGCAGTTTTTCCAGTTACAACAAGAGAGAGAGACTTTACCTTGAAACATTTATTATTTCTATTTCTTCTTATGTCTTTTGTGCTTGGAAGTGTGTTTTCAAAAAAAACATTTTTTTCCTTATTTTGTTTTCAACAAATTTGCAGACAACTTTGTGATGTTTTACATTTCAAAAAGAGAACCCTGCCCTCTAGAAATGTACTTCTAGGTCTGAATTAGGTACATTTGTGAGCAACAGACAGCTAGTACCAAAGTTCTGACAGATAAAAGGATGTTCTCAAAAATCTGGTACCATCACAAAGGAGAAAAAGCAGGCTCTCCTAAAGGT